ACCTCCTAAAAACCGACGAGGAGAAGAAATTCATTTTTGTTTTTTGAATTAAAATGATTAATGAAAATTATCATTATTATTATCACTATTATTATTATTATTATTATTACTATTATTATTATTATTATTTTTCATAAATTAAAAAAAAAGAGAAGTAATTTATTTAAAGTTATAATTAGTCGAAAATGAAAAAAAAAAAAAATTACAAGAAAATCAGTTTCTCTCGAAAAATCAATTTTATAAAAATTTGGAAATTTTTTTTTTTTTTTTATGCGAACCGAGTAATGCCTTCTTCTGCTACCTCCCACCCCACCACTCCACCACCCCCACCCGAAAACCCTCCCGGAGGGAAAAAAAACTTCGACACGAAATTTAAAAAAATAAATAATCGAACCAATTTTTTTTTTTTTTTCTTAAAAACTTGATTTTAATGATGCGGCGGCGGCGGCGGCATAATAATAATAATAATAATAATAATAATAATAATAAATATGTGTATTATTATAAGAATGTCATTAAAAATAAAAAATAAAAATAATTTCACTTTTAAATAGTATGTGTGTGTAGTAATTTTTGCTTAAGAAACGATTTAAAAGTTCTTTAACATGTGCATTCTCGGTTTAATAATTTTTTTTTTACATGTGTCTGGGTTAAACAATTTTTTTTTCTTCTTCTTCTTTCGAACCCTCTTTTTTTCTTCCTCCTCTTCCTCTTCTTCTTCTTCTTCTTTACATTTTTAGTAATTCAAACGAAATAATCATCATGGGAAGTACAAGAAGTGGAAGAAGAAGAAGAGGAAAAAAAAATACACGTCGGACATTTTTTTTTTTTTTTTATATTTGAAAAAAAAATAATAAAAGGATACGTAAAATTATTAGTTTGATCAATTAATAATTTCTTTGACCTTCGTTCGAAATAAAAAAAAACGGAAAAAACAAGATTTTATACGAGTCGAAACCGAGTTTTTTTATTCATTTACAACAAAATAATAATAATAATAATAATATTCATGTATTTTTTCAAAGAGATTTTATATTTAAAATAGAAATACTTTTCGATTTAGTATAATAATTTTAAATCCCCATAGATTAATTATTAATAATAAATAAATTGAGTTAAGGGGGATTTTTTTTAAAATGGCGAATATTTTTATAAATATAAAAAATCAATATATAATAAATCGATTTGTGATCGATGTGTCGTCGACACGTTACATCATTCAAAAAAATTAACAAAATGTCCGATCATCGTGTTTGTGTTTGTTAGTGTATGTAAAATCAATTTTTTTTTTTTTTTTAAATAATGATGATGATGCCTTAACGTACCTGATGTCATGGTAATCCTTCCTTATGATAAGAGTAGTCATCTGTTTTCCTTTTAGCTCTTCGACTGACCTTTTTACTTTTAAACAAATTAAAAAAATTGACACTATTCATTCACACTTTTCTTTTTATATAAAATACTCTTCTTACCGCACTCATATTTATTTTTAATAATTTATTTATTTATTTTAAATATATAATTTCACGCGAATTTTTATATATATTTTTTCACATATTATTATTATTATTATTAATAAATAAAATTTAATTTAATTTTTGTAATTTAAAAAAAAAAATTTTTTTTCAATAACACTATAAATTAAACCGGTAAATTTTATAAATTAATCCCATTTAAAAAACATTTAAAAAAATTTTTTTTTTAATATAAAAAAATAATAATGATGATGATAATAATAATAACCCAAAACCCAAAAAGATGAAATCGAAAAAATTATTATTAAAAAAAAAAAAAAAAAAAAATTTAAGTTGTCGATGTTGAAAATATTCCTTGCGACTGCACTAAACACACGACTTACACATTGGAAACCTACGTTTCTACCTGTTCCGTTGGTACATTCATCCTCGAACCTACTTAATTGACTGAAACATGTATTAGCGTACCTGCTATTCAGCTGATGTTATTGTACTCCTAAGAAAAAAAAAAAAAAAAAAAATTAATCGAATA